CGAGGGAAAGTTCTACACACACAAACACGTTACCAAATAAGGAGTGAGAGTGACGCGTGGCCAAAACCGGAAGCTGCATACACTCTGGTGGCTACCATTAGCAGCTAATTTATTTGCTCCGATTTTTACATGAAAATGGAATTATGGATTATAAATAATTCTTTCAAACCGACAGTCACATTATCAACCTATGGATTAACCTATTCAGCCTTGTTTTTTCTCGTTTTAATGCCATTGAACACATCTTTTGATCAGATTGACAGCTACAGTGAGACAATCTCCCGTAAAAGCTCCGTAAAGGTACGTGTTGTGATGTCTGTGTTTGCTTCCCCTGTCGTGAGTTCGGATCACTCAGTGATGATACTATACCTATATAATCTGTGGAGTCTCAGCTTTAATCTGATATATTGTATGTGCAGTTACGATAAGTAATAAGGGTATCTTTATCTTGAGTTCTGTGCCAACGTGCGTTAGAATATCTTTGCTCAGGGGTCATTTAGACGCTTCTTCTTCTAGACTTGTGTTTTGTTTTGGTAAAAATGGTTCGTATTTTCAGTTAGCTGAGATTCTTCCCGTTAATCTGGTGCTACATATTAATAGTTTCATAAATGTTAAGAAGCCCTGAGACACAGTCTCGAAAAAAAAACATTGGGGGGGGTCCACTGGGGGGAGCCTCGACTCGAAGAGGTTAACATTGCAGGAAAGTTGATTGTCAAGTCCCAAAACAAACCATGCAATATATTAAACGTTAAGTACTTTGTCAGGCTTAATATAGATACCCCATGTAAGCTTTTTGCTTACATGTATTTAAAAGAAGACCTTAACCTAAAGTATTATTTAATGTTTAAATAAAGCCTAATTAGTTTGTCTGTTTTGCACATCCTCCTCTTAATATCTTTGTACATCCGGCACTAAACTGTTTTATTCTAGATACCATTTACAGTATCTTCTTGATACTTTCTATTCTATATTTCTATCATTGACCTTGTACTTTCCTCCTATTTTGTATATACTCTTAATATTTAAATGTTTTCATAAAATATAACACATTCAAAAGTGCTTTACAAAAATGAAAGACATTAAGAAAAAGACATTTTAAACAGTCATTAAAAAGCAACACAATCTACCTGCATTGCAATTACTCTAAACGTGTAATAACGTGCTTTAACCAGTAGGTGGTTTGGGTTAAAAAGCTGTCAAGTTTACAGTGTTAACAAAATAAAATATACTGCTGTTTCCGGTTTAGTTTACGACGGATATATTTTGTTATTGTTTTGATATTTGTAACACAAAAGCGATGGAAAAAACGCACAGCAACACAGACAAGATGGTCTTAACATGACCCAGCGGTCTAGTAGTTAATAAAAAACAATAATATCAAAACAAAATATTACTACTAACTTTATTGTGAAATTAAAACAGAACGGTAAAAGAATAGTTTCCGGTCTATTCTGAGGCCCGATCTCTGTAGATAAATAAAGAACTACGACAGATGTGCAATATTTAATGCAGCCGAACCATTTATTACAATGCATTCATGTGATGACTTTCAAAGAGTAAAGCAAGCACTGCTGAATAAAGTATGATTTTATCTTTTACGAAACGTTTTTTTTTTCATATGGAATGCAGTTGGAGGTCAACCAATCACAGAGCTTGAGAACTAATCACGGGGTTTGTCAAACAAAGCACAAGGTGTAGTCCTAAACGATAGCTGAGGATTCTGGGTAGTGTAGTGTCTTCTGCCATCTATACTCCGAAAAAATATTTGTTTCTCCGAATCGAAGGGGGAAAATACAAAAGCATTGCACACAATTTAAACCAATCAATATTGTGTAATTAACAAGGATAATCTGGTGTTTTTTAGTTGATGAGTAGTGCAGATATCACTGTAAAATCAATCGACAGTAAGGAGAATAGTTACTTCCGGGTGTAAAATCCTCCGTTATCCAATGGGAATGGACGCTCACATTGCCTTTAAACAGCCGCCGACATAAACGGATGCGGTGCTTCCATGAGCGTCAAATACCGCCGCCGATGGGAATACATTGCAATCAGTTGAAAGCTCTTTGCGTCCGTTTATGAAGCTGAAGGAGCCTCGGCGCGTCCCAACTGCACGCCACGGGACCCTGACCAAGCATCGCTCCTGGACGTTTAGGGAATGAGAGTGTGTTGGTTTTTCCTCTTAAACTACAGAAACGCCAATAAACAACTCTATTCAATTTTCCATTGAGAGGCGTTTACTTATTTTGGTGAAACGAATGTGCGTGAAGTTTTGAAAGATGCGGATAGTCTCACCTTGATTCTGGCGCATTGATTATCGTTTTCTGTTTGTTTTATAGATCTATTGTCATCCACCATCTTTGTTTGTGACGTAAAGAGTGTAAGAGTCACGTTTCTGAATCAGACACTCTGAGTGGATGCACTCTTCTTTTAGTGTCTTAAAAGTAGACTGAGGAATGGCAAGGAAGTTTACTACAGCTGAGGCTTTGGAGCTGATTTTTCAAGGTGACAATATCAATGAAAAATCAGACGAATCTGCTCAGCATGCCATGTGTGATTGTGGACAGGAACTGCCATATATCATGTGTAGTCTTCAAAATTGGCAGGACAAAAAATGACAATTCCTGGCAAAAGAACGCCCATGGACACTGCCCAAAAGAATGGTCATAATAATTAACAGATTAAGTTAGAATCTTCTAATCAGTTCTGATACAATGATAATAAATGTGTGCAAATGTCTCTGTTGAATGTTTCTTTCAATGTTATGGTAAGCAGTTATTTTTAATGAAATAAGTTTTTATTTATTTTTTATTTATGGGCAAATATCCCCTATTATAGTGTAAATACGTCTCTAATGAGTGACATATATCATTAGCTGAGGTTGTGCTGATTTCTGGGATGTGTAAAACTTGATTATACTGCAAAGAAAGGACAAGTTATAAGGAAATGTCCTATGTGGGTCTCAGAGGGTTAAAGGTCCCCTATGATACTAATTTTCAACAATGTATCATAGGTCTCAGATATATACAAAACATGTCTCTGAAGTGTTTGGCTCGAAATACAAAACAGATCATGCATTGTAGCATCCCATAAACCCCTCTGTTTCAGCCCTGTTTCAAAATTGCTGATTCTCTGTCTGTAGCTTTTAAAGCAATTTAAGTGCCACTCCCCTCGCCCCTGTGAGGAAGTGTTTGGTTTTAAAAAACACAATGGTGCTCTAGGTGGAGTTTCAGGTGATAAGGTGGGTGGGTGTTACCTTGGTTGGTGATTGGCTAATGGTTGCACAACCGAAAAAACTGTTGTGACATCACAAAGTGGCCGAAGTCTGATCAGCTAATTTTCAGACAGGTTTTTATATAAATGAATCACGACAAAAACTTTTTTCCTAACATTTTCTGAATCTTTTTACACAGAGGGGACACATATTTCTGTATAAATGACATGAAAAGTGGATTTAGCATTATAAGCGACCTTTAAATGACACAGTTTTTTTGTGAAAAGTCTTGAGTTTTTATTAATAAAGTTTCCATGTCAAGTAACCCAGTGACTGCAAATAAATGCAACTTTGTATTTCTGCCCTGGAAAAGCAGGGATTGGATTTTAGTGCTTCCTCTATTATGAATATCTTTATGAAGATTCAACACTTTATTGAAAAGTCTAATTTCTTGACGATAGCTTTCAAGTCATGTAACCCAATGACCCCAAATGTATTTGGCATTGTATTACCACAAGTACTACACATTATTGTTGATAGAATTAAGGATTTCAATGAAAGAATGAACAGTTTTGTAATTATAAACTATTGGTTTCTTTGAATAATTAACCGAATGTGTTCTTTCACATACATTTCCATAAAAATAAAAAAGTTATTGAGTTGTATAACAGAAATGTATATATGAAGTCATAAGACATGTCACAACATTCTCGTTATCTGCTCGAACTATAAGCAAGTGTTTCTAGCAAGTTTGCCAAGTTTGTATTACTTTAACAGAATGAAGCCCCTTTTCCTTAAAGTCATGTTTATTTTACTAAACAGCAACCTGATATTGTTTCTTTGCCACGTTAGAGTTGCAAAGAACACTTCCTTTCATTCAGTGAGTTTGCATCTTCTACATACTTCCTGTACAATCTAATCCATAATACTAATGCTCTTATTGTCTTTCATTTTTGTAAAGCACTTTGAATTGCCTTGTGTTGAAAGATGCTATATAAATAAACGTGCCTTGCCTTACAGTACCTTGCCTAATAAGCGATGTCTAATGAAAACAAAACAAACCGTGTTATATGCATGTGATTACACTCTCAAAATGATATTGTTGTGAATGAAAGACTAGGGTACACACAAATATGTCTCACACCAACTTTTCTTTTTATTAGCCAGTTATAAAATAAGTATTTTGTATTTATTTGAGAGTGCACTGCTATTAGAAATCAAAGTAACATTTCAAGATAAGCCCACAAAAGATAACATACATTGGAAACTAACCCTGACCCCTCTATAATAATGATTACAGTGATCAAACACCTTTATGGATCAAAACTTTGACCACACTAAACAATTGTTTTTTCAATAATTTGCTCATTTTTTTGGTTATTTTCATACAATACTCTAAATGGAAAAATATATATTTAAACATATACTGTATATATTTAAAATATAAGGATGATATTAGGAATTGATGCCCTAACGTTTATTTCCAGGCTTGTTAAAAATGTAGTAATGCACTAAAACCATCAGCAAGTTTTTGCACTACTCATATTACTGTATTGGTAAACAGCACAATACTGTTATAGACTTAAACCTAATTCTAGTTTTAACTACAGTAAACCATCTTTTATTTACAGTAGGTGCTTCACTGTATAGTGTACATTTACACAACACAGACATTTGAAACACCTTGGAAATCGATCAATACATTAACTCAAATTCAGTAAATAGTGTGACTATCTGTTGCTGTAAATGTATGTAAACGGTTAATGTCATGAAAAATTAGTCAATAGAATAAAAATGTAGTTTTAATAATCAATTGCGTAGTGATCAGTTTAACCCTGACATACATGATCCCTAACATTGGTACTAACAAACATTTGGTCACAACACCAAACATCACAGTATTACAGGTATTTCATACGTTCTTACACATGCTGTTTTAAGTTGTGATACAACAACTCCCACCAGTATAAAGTATCCACCAATCGTTTTTACCCTTTTGTGTACCACTTTTTTTATTTGTGTTTATAACAAAAAAAGTTAATAAATGTAAAATCTGCTGAATTACTCTGCATGTGGCACATTTACTGGTCCCGTCATGAGCTGAGTCGAGATGTGCTTCAAGTTATCAAAAGCATCAAAGCTAGCAGGAGGGTGAGGACAGGAGAACACACCAAACCAGGAGAGAAGCCAAAAATGCTGAAGCCGGAAGAAAGGAATGGATTGATTAATTTAAATAAGAGGATTTTTCACACATGTCCCATATTGCTTGATAACATTTAGTTTAATATTAACATTCAAAATTATATTTTATAAAAAGTAAAGTACCCTCAACAGCATTACATTTTACTTTTAAAGTCTACTAGTTAATGTATCGTTAGTGTGTGTGTAAATGTAAATACCTGCTTTCATCCGTGGTTCTGGGAGGCTCAAGAGTGGTAGTGCTGTAAAATGCATAGCATGATTTGAAAAGCGAATTGCTTTCTTTAAATGAAATACATTTGTTAACTCAGGTTCAGGAGCATTAAGATAAGATTTTATGTAATGTGTGTGAGTAATAGTGAATACCTGTGATCCGTGGTTCTAGGGGGTTTAAGGGTGGTGGTGCTGTAAAATGCATAGTATTATTTGAAAGACATATACAAATCTACTTGCTTTCTTCAATTGTTGTTTTAAAAGAAATAAACCTTTTTTGCTTAACATGAGCATAGAAACACATACATATTTTATTTGTTGATTATCCTCAAGTGCATCAAGCTATTTTACCACTTACAAACGTATTACAGTTTACAAATGACTTAAAGTGTAAATGTGAATACCTGCTTTCATCCGTGGTTCTGGGAGGCTCTAGGGTGGTGGTGCTGTAAAATGCATAGTGTTAGGATTCGTGGAAAGGGTAGGACCCAAATGCAGACTACAAAATAAGGTAAAAAGGTCTAGAAACAAAAGCGAGCTTTATTTTAAAAGCTGAACAAAAACATGGCATGAAACACATAGGTACTACAAAAACTGACCGTGACCAACATGGAGGGAGACTGGAGAGACAATGAACCGACAAGGCACACAGGGGAAGACAAGACTAAATACAGAGAGGGGTAATCACAAGACAAGACACAGCTGGGGTAAGGGAGGCAGAAACACAAGGGCAACAGGTGAACACAATCAGACAATCAGACACACCAGGGAAACTAATGACAGGAAGGCAAACACAGGAAGAAGGAACAGAGAAGACACAAGGAGGAAAACATTTCAAAATAAAAGGTGGAAAATGAAAACAATCCAAAACCGTGACACATAGCTTGATTAGAAAAGTGAATTGCTTTCTTTAAATACAATTAATTTGTTAACTCAGGTTCAGGAGCATGGCCATGCCTCAATGCCATCGCTAATCAAGGCTAAGTCTATGTATATCCGGCCAAAGATCCGGCCAAAGATCCGGCCATCGCTTGTCTACATTCTCTCAACCCACCCTCCTGCTCCCTTCCACTTATACATTCCTATTTCTACCTCATCCTTAGCCAAACCCCCTTCATCACTCCAACCATCGACCCTTTCATCGCAACATCCCTTATCTCCCCATCCCTTATTCCTTCATTACATTACATTACATTACTTTACATTACATTACATTGCATTTAGCTGACGCTTTTATCCAAAGCGACTTACAATAAGTGCATTCGACCAAGAAGATACAAACTTGAAGAAAACAGAATCAGGTTTCATAGAGCCAAAACATTTCAAGTGCTATTCAACTGGCTTTAGATAAGCCAGTCCTTTATTAGTATACAAGTGCTTTGTTAGTAATTATTTGTTAGTAATTCTATCGCTCGAACTGGAGCCGAAAGAGATGAGTTTTCAGTCTGCGCCGGAAGATGTGTAGGCTTTCTGCTGTCCTGATTTCAATGGGGAGCTCATTCCACCATTTTGGAGCCAGGATAGCAAACCGACGTGTTTTTGCTGATGGGAACTTGGGTCCCCCTCGCAGTGCGGGTGCAGCGAGCCGTTTGGCTGATGCAGAGCGGAGTGCACGTGCTGGGGTGTACAGTTTAACCATGTCCTGGATGTAGGAAGGGCCTGATACATTCACAGCATGGTACGCAAGTGCCATTGTCTTGAAGTGGATTCTAGCAGTTACTGGAAGCCAGTGAAGTGAGCGGAGGAGTGGTGTGGTGTGAGAACATTTTGGAAGGTTGAAGACCAGACGAGCCGCTGCATTCTGGATGAGCTGCAGAGGTCGGATGGCACATGCAGGTAGACCAGCCAGGAGGGAGTTGCAGTAGTCTAGGCGTGAGATGACGAGAGCCTGGACCAGAAGTTGTGTCGCTTTCTGGGTCAGGAGGGGACGTATCCTCCTGATGTTGTAAAGAGTGTATCTGCAGCAGCGGGTTGTAGCAGCGATTTTTGCAGTGAAGGACAGTTTGTTATCTAGGGTCACACCCAGATTCCTTGCAGTCTGAGTCGGGAAACAACAGAGGTGCTGATGTTGATTGTTAGGTCAAGAGTGGGACAATCTTTTCCTGGAAGGAAAAGCAGTTCAGTCTTGTCAAGGTTGAGCTTGAGGTGGTGAGCAGACATCCACTGAGAGATGTCAGCTAGACAAGCAGAGATGCGTGCGACGACCTGGGTCTCTGAGCGGGGAAAGGACAGAATTAATTGGGTGTCGTCGGCGTAGCAGTGGTATGAAAAACCATGCGGGCTAATGACTGATCCGAGCGAGTTTGTGTACAAAGAGATGAGGAGGGGACCAAGAACAGAGCCCTGAGGGACCCCTGTAGTTAATTGACAAGGGTCGGACTCGGACCCTCTCCAAGTTACCCTGTAGGTACGGTCTTTGAGGTATGAGGTGAAGAGGGAAAGTGCAGAGCCTGAAATTCCATCATCCTGACATTCAGACACCCCTTCATCCCTTAATCCCTTAATCCCTTATCCCTCCATCCTGTATCCCTTCATCCCTCCATCCCTTATCCTTTCCTCTCTACACCCCTTCATCCTGACATCTCTTAGTCCATTAATCCTGACATCCCTTCATCCTGACATCCCTTATCCTTCCATCCCTACATCCCTTCATCCCGACATCTCTTAGTCCTTCCATCCCTTCATCCCGACATCTCTTAGTCCTTTCATCCCTTCATCCTGACATCCCTTATCCTTTCCTCCCTACATCCCTTCATCCCGAACTCTCTTAATCCTTTCATCCCTCCATCCCTTATCCCTTAATCCCGACATACCTTGTCCTTTCATCCCTACATCCCTACATCCCTACATCCCTACATCCCTACATCCCTTCATCCCCTCATCCTCTCCACCTGTCTCCATTCATATTCAACTCGTGCATATTTTGCGGAAACATGCCGGGGACTGAACCCCCACTCTGAGTCTCCCTCTGCCTGGACCAAAGCACGTCCTCCCAGACCAGAGCAACAGACGTCATTAGCCACCATCACTTAAAGGTGGGGTAGGTAATTTTGGAGAAACCAGCTCGAGTGCGCTAAAATTTGAAAATACACAGCCGGAAAAAATCTGCCACTTCCTTACAGAGCCCCTCCTCCAACACACACGAACGCGCACATGACCAATGAGGGCACGAGATAAGTTTGTGCACAGATGGAAGGCTGACAGGCAGGTAGGCTATCCAGTTATTTTAGCCGGGCCGGCTAAAATGATTGGTCGTGCTTTTTACAGTACTACGGCTTCCACAGATGAAATTTTTTTATGGATTTTTTGTCAAAGCACTTAAGATATTCATTGCTATCGGGATGTTAAGAGCATTCCATGTAATATAACAAAAAGTGTATCTCGAGCCGGTTTCTCAAACGTACCTACCCCACCTTTAATAACCCCCTCCATATCAATTCATTGTTACTCCTTCATTAAACCTACAAACATTATAGTGTTGTGGCGTGGTCCTTGCTAGTGAAATCTGAGATCATATTTTTCAAAGGTTCTAGGAGGTTTAAGGGTGGTGGTGCCGTAAAAATATTATTTGAAAGGCATGTCAAAATCTACTTGCTTTCTTTCATTTTTGTTTTAAAAGAAATTATTATTTTCTTTTATTTATTTTTTTGCTTAACATGAACATAGAAACACATATATTACTTGCTGATTATCCTCAAGGGCATCAAGCTATTTTACCACTTACAAATTACTTCAAATGTAACATGTGGGAGTCAGTGTGAATACCTCTCATCCGTTGTTTTGGGAGTTGAGTGGGTGGTGGTTGGTGAGATTCTGTAGAAAGAATTGTATCATTTGAAAGACATCTTAAAATACAATCTATTTCATTAAGTTGTGTCTAAAATTAGAATTGGTTTCAGTTCTGACAATTAAACCTAGTTTGATAAGACAATGACTTACCGTGATGAGCAGGGGCCTCCATTCAGATCTTTCGGAGGATATTTGATCTCCACTGGTCCCACTTGAGGACTTGGCAGGGCACTTCCAGTGACTACCGGGGTGATATCTAGAAAATAATAACCATTTAGCTATAATGTGCAGAAAACTTCAATTTGTATTAGAATTACAACCAGAACAGTCAAGTTTAGCAGAAATACAAATATTTTCTCAGCCTGCCTTGGAAGCTGAAAACAAAAGCGACACTTCCTCCTTTGAGGAACTCTCTGGTTTTCATATCCTTCTGTTTGGCAAAATACGATCTGCCAAGCAGAGTTCCAGCGAATGCATTCTCATTATTCTCATCTACGTATGGAGTTCCAACTTTACGAGGATTGCCCCAAAGATAGCTGCCTGTATATAGAAAGCATATACATCATCAAAGCTATAAGTAACCAACAAGAACATTAGATTATTATCTCATTCCAGAGATAATATATATTTTTAAATATACTTTGTAATGTACTTTTAGACTTACCACCAGAGGATGTGCTTAGATCACTGGTGATACTTAATTGCTTGGACATCTGCACCTGGATGTTTGCGTTCTGGTCCAGCATTTTGAAGGTCACCTGCCTTTGTGGGCAAGGCCACTCCAGCCGGTCATCTTTTTCACCAGACACGAGTTGCACAAACAATCCAAAATATGAATTATACAACAAAACCCCAACCCTGTAAGCATAGCCCCCGCTGGAGTATTGCCGAGGGCTGTAAATAGTGGTGCCATATTTGCTAGAGCTCAAGGTTTGCTCAAAGTCATCAAGCTGCATGGTTACATGTGGACATTCGGTCTCTGACAGATTGATGTCATCGATGGAGAAGCCGCCTGTAGAGCTTCCTGCTCCTTTACGAACCTCAAACTCCACCTGGAAGTGCTTGGTGGCATTCAGGGACACATGATGGAGCTTCCAGTGTTTTGTTGGCTCACCTAGAGGAAGAGTGTAGCTTTCAAAGATTAGGTTCTAATAACATGTACAAAAGATGACACCAGATCCATATATACCAGTGATCTGTCCCATGAGGCGTAGGGTTCCCTTGAGGTCCAATTCATCCTGAAACTCTCTGATCCAGATGTTGAGGTGGTCTGACATGTTCCCACTGTGGAAATAGTAGAACTGCAGACACTGGACATGATGCTCCCTATTGAGACTCATCCTGTGGGTCTCCAGCCAGGCCGAGTCTCCCTCCTCACCTGATGCCGTGCTAACATGCATGAAGTAACCTGCATCTTCACCTAGAATGCATAAATCTGTCTTAAGATTGTGATAACATTTTGTGTGTTTCATTTGTACTTTATAAAAGAATAAATGTGTGGGGGTGTATGCACTTATTAGATACTTGATAGTTCAAAGGTAACAAGATATACAAACAGAGAATATTGTAGTGCATGGTCAGGGCCATATTTTTAGTAGTACACAACTGAAAATGTTTGATTCATAAATCTTACCTTGTTCACCACTGCCACTAGGTAAACTGGTGTGGTCAGACACAGGACCCCCTTTAACCTTAGTTACCATTTCCCAGCCAAGCCCACTCTGTGAACAGCTAGTCATTTGACACATGGTCTCATCAGGGAAGCTGCATTGCATCTGAAATGCAATGGTTGACTCTGTAGAGTAAAATAAAGAGCACAGGATTGAAGACGTATTAAGTTATTCATTTGAATCTTTATCAGTTAGATATGGAGCATAGGGAAACCCTAAACTTGTTTTGATTGGATTAAATTAATTAAAGCTTTAGTTCCTGGTTGTGTTGTAATCAATGATACATCTGAAAACTGATTACTCTAGTTAAACACAATTAAAGTAACTAAGTAACACAAAATGTACATTGAAATGGTTGCTTGCCTGGTTCTGACTTTAATGACATATTATGTTCACAGTAAATGGACTGATTTTAGTCACTGGAACAAACACTTACTGCATTTGTAGAGGAGGTTCAGCTCCAGAACATCTTTGGGACTCACTTCCAGTCTTTGACCAATCACATCCTGGAACTTTGGGTCTTTGGTTAGAATTGTTGACCCGTTGCCATTGCTGAAACTATTTTCGCCATAGTGCATCACTGACCAGAAATCGTACGGGACTCCCTGGGTGGTGGTGCTTTTATTGCTCCCTTTTTGAAAATTACGCTCGAAACCTAGATGACACAGCATAATGTATATTTGTATTAAACCTTGAGAGCTGAATAAATGGTTAAAGGTCCCCTATTATACTCTTTTTCATCAACATATTATAGTTCTCAGTTATATACAAAACATGTCTCTGAAGTGTTTTGCTCCAAATACCAAACAGATCATTTCAGCATCCCATAATCCCCTCTGTTTCAGCCCTGTTTCAAAAGTGCTGATTCTCTGCCTGTTACTTTAGATGAAAATAAGGAGCCACTCCCCATGCCCCTCTGAGAGATATTTGGTTAAAAAGAACGCAATGGTGCTCTAGGAGGAGATTCAGGTGATAAGGTAGGGGGGGGGGGGGGGGGGTTACCTTGGTTGGTTATTGGCTAATGGTTACACAAGCCAAAAAATGACATCATATAGTGGCCAAAATCTGATCAGCTCATTTTCAGACAGGTTTTTATATAAATGGCTCAGGACAAAAAGAGAGAGAATCTTTCTTCCTGAAACTTTCAGAATCTCTTTACACAGAGGGGACACATGTTGATGTATAAAAGACACAAAAAAGATGTTGCATAATGGGTGACCTTTAAAGCATAACTAACATATTATTGATCTAGACAGCTAAATATTTTCTTAACCATACTATTAAAAACGGTCACAAGTGTCACATGTTCATATTGATCTCTTTAGTCTTAAATGATAAATGATACAAATGTACAATTAAAAAAGTTCTTAAACACATATCAAATATTACAATGAAAATCTTAACAAACCTTCTCGGATGTTCTTGTTAACAATGGTCACATAATCATCTCTGTCATATCTGGACTGTTCATGGTAGAAGCCCAAAGCATGGAGGAACTCATGTTCAACCGTTGAGATGGAATCACAGTAAGACCCGATGGAAAGGTCCTGTCCGTTGGATTTTACTTTCCCAATATATGAATAACATCTAAAATGAGAAAGAGCAGTCATCAGCTCATCAATTTATGAAAAGCATATAGAGCAATTTAAAAAATGTGCAAAGGAACTGTAGATACAAACAAAATGTATATTTATCAAAGGTACACAAAGAACAATAAATCTCACAAGCAAATTTACAAACAATAGCAAAAAATGATCAAAAAATTTGCTTTTTGGGGATAAACGTAGCGAGCAAGAAAGAAATGGATATTTTTTCTAATGATTTTTTAAATATTTTGAAAACGTACCCGCTTAACTTTTTGACGTTGATGTAATACTCCTCAGAGTCCCTTGGTTTGAAGTCAATACATGACTTCAACCTGAACTGGTCAAAGGCTTTCAGGATGACTCCTTTAGCATTCATCTCTTCCATTGTGCATGGGCATTTTTCAAAAAGGAAGAACAAAGAAATGGCATTGTAAATGACAAGAACAGATGAGGTATTCTCGCTTGTATACATTGTTGGTATGAATTTCACAAATTTGTGTTCCTATTGAACTTCTGTCTGTTCAATTATGTAACTAACTCCTTAACATGTTGCATAGGCCTCCATAACTAAAACAAATATTCTGGTTAATGCACGAAAACTAATATTCACCAAGGTCTTCATTCAAAACATATGGGACTGGGGATGTCCACAGTCTTTTCTCATTAGTAGTGGCACTCCTTTCTGTGTTTGGTGGGTCCTGAGAAGAATTATAAGAAACTGTATCATGTGACACACACACACAAATGTTTATCATTTGAATATTTGCCTAAAAATGCTAAACCCACCTTCAGGATATCATCCTGAAAAGAATCTAAGATAACACATAAAAGGGGATGTTTTTTAACAGAATATCAATAACGATACAATGAATAAGTTACTTGGTTATAAATGAACTTGACAGAACAATATTACCAAAAGGTCCATTTAATGGTATGAAAATGTTTAACTTTACCTTTGTTTGCCTCTTGAATGCTCTTGCTTGCACCAATGTCTACAAAAACAGATAAGAGGTTGCCTTATGAAGTAACATTGAGAATTAAATTATTAAATATTATATATGTTATGAAATAAAAGATAAAATATGAAATACTACAACTTACCCACTATCTCCAATTTGACCTGTGAACAATTACATTTGCGGAGATAAATAAGAGTAAAACTATAATATATAATTTACAACATGATATACAAATAACATGTTCGCATTCCATCTATTTTTTTTCGGATGCAGTTAAATATGCTTGAGTCTCAACTTTTATGAAAAAAAAGTAATTCATTAATTCCTGTATGAAATGTTAGGAAATCGACAGCAAGCCAATACATTATAAATTAAGGAAAGTTACAACAATAAAGTAACTCTTACTGTTCTTTTGGAGAATGATGATGAAACGGTCAAAATCACAACAAGGAAAATGTAGCCTTTCATCCTTGTGTCTTGAAACAAACTGGAAATATAAACAAGATCAATATTAATAAGCATGATAAATTCAAAAATATGGTAATATATTTGTATAATATGAACAAATATAATCGTAAACCTCTCAAAACACGATAAAGTTACTATACATTATTGTGTCCTATTCACTAATCTGAAAATGCAGTATTTAAAGAAGACAGAAAATGCTCATCTGCGTTTACCTTCTGCCAGCTCGATTGTCTGTTCTAAACATGAAGGTTTTGGCTATACAGTATGAGTTTATATATGTGTGTAAATCATCATGCCCATCTACGAAAACAAAGTAGAACAGGTTTTAACTTCAGACAATTCTTTTACATTCTTTCCGAATACTTAACAATTGATGTTGTGGTTGCAATGCCGTGAAGCAAAGCAAACTCTTAAACCGTTACATTGTGTCTCAGCTGTCAATCTGTTAATTGAGGATCCGGTTTAAACGCAGTGGAGCATTATCTTTTGCACTTTAGTTTAATATATCTACTGCAGCATCACTTAACTCCAAACCGATATCAGATATTACAACTATGCAAAAAACAACAACACGTACATTTCTTCTGATTTAATAGAGCTTTTTCAATTGTATATTAATATTTTAGGGAAATTCAGCATGTAGAAAACTCTCATTTTGATGAGATATATTACTACACTACACAGAGAAGACCCGGATATTTTTGTTGGTTTTAGTGCTTGTTCTATGATCTATGAGTGTTTATTGATTCTTCTAATAGCTTCACTGTCATGTAATCCAGGGATTCCAAATCAAGCATTGTACTGTATAACTACACTGGACAAATAAAACACACCTTTATGTTCTGGATTCTGGGGCTTCTTCTATTATATATGAACAATGTTATGAAAATGCATGATTATTTAGTTTGATCCATTCATCCACCCATGCTCCTCCCACGTGTCTTAAGCATTTCTCCCCCTGCTCCGATTCTCAGGCTCATCTCATGCTCCATTGTCACCTCACACAAGATCAAGACTCCCAGATATACCTAAACCCCTTAACTTGGGGTAAAGACTCGTTCCCTACTCTGAGTTAACCAACCATTATTTTTTCTGCTGAGAACCATTACCTCACATTTAGAGTTGCTGATCCTTATCCCCGCCGCTTCACTACAAAAACTCAGAATCTTGCCAAGTATATTTGTCTAATATCTAATCAGAATATGTCTTGACACCTGCTATAAGACATAATAACTTCAGAAGTAACAATGCAGTGAGATATAGGGTCTTGTTTTTAGACAATGCATCCTCTTGTTAAGTCAAATAATCTTATTTTGAGTTGTATCTTAGATGAAACAATTATTTTTTTCATATTTATTGAACAATCCCCAACTAACATCAGAAAAACAGAACACTTTTGAGCATTTGCGGCTTATATTGTATCAACATTTCCTGATTCTGGTAAAATATAGTTCAAAATACGTTCTCCCAGCTAATTACAAGATCTGATTTATCTAAATATCCCTTCTTATTTCAAGAAATCTTACCAAGCAAATGTTCACTTGTTTTATTGGCAGATTATTTTACTTATTTCAAGGGATAACACCTTGTTTTCATTATTGTTTAACTTGTTTTTGGAGCAGCATTTTTTCCAGTGTTCACACTCGGCTGCGAACAGATCCAATTAGTGCTGAAGGTCGCTAATTGATAATGCCATCAGAACTACTTCCTCTGCAAAAATCAGCAATTAAATCCTCAGCGTACCAAGGTGCAGACCCCTCCCCTGCAACTACGCCATGAAATAGGTGATGGTTGTAATATCATGTGACCTAAATACTCAAAATCTATACCAGATGTAACTAATACACTGGATAAGGACACACCTCTTTTTGGGGATTTTATACGAATGTTTTTATGAAATCCAGCAGTTTTTTCAAATAAAAAATGTGTTGATTTATATCAAAAGCTTTCTAATTTTCTTCAACAGCTTCCATGTAATATGACCCCATGACTTAAAATCAATGCAGAATTGTACTAGTAGGATGACACATCAGATCACCTTTCGGAAAGTAATGCATCAACGGTGTAGAAATACCCGTGTACAAGTGGAAGCCCTGCATGTAAACATTTTTGAGTGAAACAAGACACAAGGAAGAAGAAGAAGCTTTTAGTCACTGTCAAACAGAACTATCCACATTCCACTCTCTTATAACATAATAGAGCAGACACAGTGATGACATGTTGTCCTTTTACACAACATGAAGACAGATGTTTGATCTAAACTGACAAATACTACTTTACAAGGAATGTACATTTGGTGAGGCTTTGTTAAATTCTAGCATTGATAGAGAAGCTATCTATGGTTCCCTGAAGATGTTTTTTTAATGACTTTGGAGAAAAAATTACTTTTCTTCATTAGGTTTGTGTTTTTTAAGGAAATGTTCAAAAACATATTTGGATGAATGATTAGCCATGAAGCTCCGTACATCCATGTCCCACTCAGCATGACTTGTAATGACTTTAGTGACGTTTCAATATTATTTAATATGTCAATATATGACATTGTGGAAAAGCAGAAATATACAAGTAGTAGTATTTTTAAGTAGTAGACTTGAGTTAGGTACTATTTGTGTTTAAGACAGGAAGTCTGACACAGTCATGCACGTAGTAATGGAAGGATGGTGGTTTGTTGTTTTCCAAACTGTCAGAAGAGTGAGGGTTTGTTTTGTAAACCAGGCCGTTCCACATTCTTTGACATGCAGTCGCAGATGGACACAGTGTCTCTAAAACGTTCAACATATATTCTTTTGTGTCTGTTTTTTCCTCTCAATACATGTCAGCTGTATCACTTACAGTTGGTTTAAGAGAAGTTATCTTATCATCTATTATTATTAGAGTCACATGGCTGATGTTTGGCAACACCTGATGCAGGTCTCAGCCATTCAGTGGGAGATTTGATCATTCTATAAATACAAATATTAATAAGTGTTGCCTTTTGTGTAAATGTGAATGTTATAATAACTAATAGTTTTAGGGATTATGTCAGGAAGAGTGAAACATTAAAATAAAACGTTATTTATGAAGATTATATCACATAGAAATGTATTTGAAGGCTAAGTTTTAGGGACGTTTTTTTTTATGTTTTCCATTTGATGTAATACTACAGTTCTAAAAACACCATGGGTTAGAATACAAGCAGATACATCAAATATCCAGTCTATCTACAGTTTTGATTGTAGACCACTGAAATAAAGTCTTAGTAAATCAAAAATAAACGTATCATAGATATTGTGCATAGAAGCCAATTGGGAACTAATGTGTACTTTTATTTTGCTGACAACTAAAACAAGTCATATATCAGGTTTTTAAGCAACTACAATACACTTACAGTAGATAATGTCAGGCAGTACCACACTGATAAAACAATGAACACAAAGGGACTGATACAGTTCAAATATAACTTACATAGAATATAATTATCCGGGTCAGATTCAGCTCTTCTGGCAACCCTGTCTCCTACAAATTACGTTCCCACAGAACTAAACTGCATTCTCAATTACGTTTAGCCAGAAACGTATTTTCTCCCACGTTATGTTTGTTACGAACGTATCTCAAATACGTTTATTTTCTACATATCTTCTAGAAACATATTTTCTCCCACGTTACGTTTGTTATGAACGTATCTCAAATACGTTTATTTTCTACATATCTTCTAGAAACATATTTTCTCCCACGTTACATTTGTTATGAACGTATCTTAAATACGTTTATTTTCTACATATCTTTGCCATTTATTGTCTTGCTTATAATAATGATAATAGTCATTTATAAATATCATTTTAGAGCACACATTTGAAATCGACGATCGGGCTCGATATCCTATGGTTAAATTAAAATCAGTAGGCGAGGCTATAATTGCGCCAGCTGCGAGGCAGAAAATAATAGTTTTAACATGCCAAAAAGCTGCTGTGTCGTTTAT